CATCTCGGCGTCCACCCAGAAGATGGAGTCTCCCAGCTTGAGCCTGGAGGGTGACTGTCCCGAGGTCGGGACACGCTGCCAGCCGATGCGGGTGTGCAGGGTCCCCGGGGCGGCACTGGCGAGTGCAGCCGCGTGACCCGCGAGTGCACGCGCCACCAGAGGGCGTGTCCAGCAGCCGGTTCCTCTCCTTCCCTCCTCCGCGTCCGGTCCGTGTGAAGCCACCTCCCAGGACGCAGCCTTCTCGCCTTTCCCACTGTCCTCTGGTGGTCACCGCCGGCCAGCTGTGGACACTCGTGCCCTCGAGCACCACAAGTCCTGCTCACATCTCCTCGGCTGTTTGTCCTACTGTCCATTTTCCAAGACGCTTTTGCACGGTCTTCCCTCACGTTGATGCAGGAAAGGTGGAATTCGGGACCCTCACAGGCCGGGGCCTTCGTCACAGCCAGAAGACGGGGCCGGGGCCCAGGTGCATTCAGCCCCTGCCCTGACCTGGAAGGAAATCTAACAAAAGAGAAGGGAGAAACCAGCGCTCAGACACTCTACTCATTTTCTCACCAAAAGCTAGAGGTTTGGAGCTGAACAAGAGGGTTGTTTTCTATTTTCACCTTGTGTAGAACTCGTAGTTAATGTGAGAGGAAGAGCTTTAAGCTTTTAAGTAGGTCAGAGCACACAATAGACAGATTGAGAGAAAACGCGGGTCCATTTGTTCTTCAAAAAAGCTGTTGTTTTCGCATTTTCTCCATCAGCAGACAAAGCACCGAAGGTCAGCCTTTCAATGCATGTCACCCTGACTAGCAGCTGAGCCGCAGCTGAGCTCAGGGAGCAAATGGCCCCGCGTGTCACCTTGGGGACAGGAAGGTGGGAGATGGCGGCTCCAGCCTGGGGGTGGGTGAGGGGACAGCTATGGGGACGTGGTACGCTGGCCTTTGTCCTCCTGTGGAGACGCCCCCAACTGGGGTCAGCACCCCCTGCCCCCCTTCTGTCCCCTCTGCCTCCTGTTCCTGCACTTGTCACATGCCTTCCTTTCTTGGTCGTGTTCCCGACCTGTGGTCCAGACCCACGGGGTCCCGCCTGGTGAGCACCTGGGCGCTTTTGCCACGCTGCTTTCTTTCGTCCGCGGCGCTGGCGGCAGGCAGCCAGTGGTCTGGCCGTTTGCAGCCAAGCACTTCGTTTGGACACTGGGAGGAAAGACGGGNTGTATCTATGCATCAAATGCTCAAATCTAACGAAAAACATCAACTCACTTTCTTCCCTCTAATTGTTTATTTACTTAATACCATAAAATCTTGCTCTCAAAGGATCTGATGAATCTAGTAGATGCTAAATATTTGTAATTGTAAAACAATATTTGGGAATTTCACAGTTTATTCTTCTTAAGGTTCTTACACTTTGGAGCCTTTGATGTGGTATAAAAAAAGGATTGCCCATTTGACCGTGCGGACCAAAAGTGACCGCCAACTACTGAACACCAGTGCATCATGTGTGGGGTGCTAAACATTTTCCTTTTCCTACACAGAAGGATCCTCACCCGTTTCCCCACAAAGTCCTAAATGCCGTTTCTGTGTTTTCTCAACAGACCCGCCGTGCTCATGGTCACCAGCTCATCAGTTCAATGAGGAAAGATACTCCCCCGCCCCGAGGAATATGAAAGGCCTGTCCGGGAGTCGGAGTCAAGCGCCGCTGTGTTCTGGTCACACGTGTGGCTTCACCGCGCCCGAGGACTGCGAGCACCTCCACCATGGGCTGGACACCAGGCCGTCCTACCTGCTCGGCGCCTCGGACAGCTACCCCGCAGATCGGCACCGCTGCTCCCCGAGGAGCTCGGTCCACTCCGAGTGCATGATGGTGCCGGTGGTGCTGGGTGAGCACATGTCCAGCAGCACTTTCCCCAGGATGCACTACAGCTCCCATTACGACACGAGGGACGACTGTGCCATGTCGCACGCCAGCACGAAGATCAACCGCATTCCGGCCAACCTCCTGGACCAGTTCGAGAAGCAGCTGCCGCTGCACAGGGACGGCTTCCGCACCCTGCAGTACCAGAGGACCTGCGCCGCCGAGCAGCGCGGCGAGAGCCCGGGCCGCATCCGGCACCTCGTGCACTCCGTGCAGAAGCTCTTCACCAAGTCGCACTCCCTGGAGGGCTCCTCCAAGGGCGCCGCCAACGGGACCAGGGCCGACAGCCGGGCGGACGAGCGTCCCCACGGCCACCACGCCAAGCACGGCAAGCGGAGTAAAAGCAAGGAGCGGAAGCCCGAGGCCAAGCACAGGTCGGGCCTGAGCAGCTGGTGGAGCTCGGACGACAACCTGGACAGCGACAGCACGTACCGAGCCCCCAGCGTGCTCAACAGGCACCTGCTGGACCACGTCCCCCACTGCTACCCGGAGCCGCTGCAGGGACCCTTCGGGGCCCTCTCCCTGAAGACTTCCAAAAGTAACAATGACGTCAAGTGCTCCGCCTGCGAGGGCTTGGCCTTGACGCCCGACACCAAGTACATGAAGCGGAGCTCCTGGTCCACGCTCACCGTGAGCCAGGCCAAGGAGGCCTACCGCAAGAGCTCCCTGAACCTGGACAAGCCCCTGGTCCACCAGGAGATGAAGCCGTCCTTGAGGCCGTGCCACTACCTCCAGGTAAGGAGTCTTGAGCGCTTGACGCCATCTGCGGCGCGGTCTCTGCAGCGGCTCTCACGGGTGGCATCGTGGGGCCCGACCCGCCTTTCCACCGTAACCTGCACACGCCGGGCTGTTCCCTGGGTACCTGTGAGGCTGTGGGATTCAGCAGTAGCAGCACAATGCTTTGGCCTACGGTAATGTTCTCTCTTTCGAAAGGGACCGGTTTGGCCCCATGGGAGCTGGCCTGCAGCTTGCGTGGGTCACTGACCGTACGTGACAGTAGCAACTTTTGGGATGTGGGGTGAATGAATTCACCAAAGGTGAAACCAAATTAAAGACAGTGCATGGCTAGAGGTAGGGTTTTGTGGAACTCTTCTCACTTCTGTGTCCTAATCACGCCGTCACCGAGTTGTGTATGTGTGTGTGGCGGGGGACAGGGAGTCTGCCCTGAGGTCACCCGCCTCTTTCAGGGGCTCCTCTGCAGTTGCTTCCATCAGCTAACAGCGCTCTTAGCAAAACGTGAAAGTCGGACGTTTTCCTTTAGTATATCTTACCCCACCCCTCTCCTTCGCCACGGCCGCTGTGTTTACGTTACAGGGATTGTCACAGAGTCATGAGTAATGGCGCTGAGTGCCGGCTGAGCCGTCAGGCAGCCAATTAATGGGACAGATCAACAACCGAGTCTCCTAGGAGTCAGGTGGCCGCAAATCATTCCAGCAGCTCCAGTTGCTATCCTGGTGCGCTGCCTAGAGCCCCATGGTTCTGTCTAAAAGGAAATGCTAACCCAACTGCCTTCGCAGGCAGGTTCATTCAGAGATGAATTGGTACTTGGATCAAACCTTATTTTTGTGCCAAAGGGACAGGGGTCAGTGTGGCTCATAGTTAGCAGACCCCAATAACGTGCAAACGTGAGATGCTCACCTGTACGCGTCACAGGGAATGTCATCAGTGGTGTCAGGCCCCCACTGCAGAAGCCGAGGTCTGGTGTCTCCGTCTCTCCCTGTGAGATCTCTGACGCAGCGTCCCCGACACTCGAGGGTGACGCTGCAGCGGGTGTGCTCCCCGCGTGCCTGCCGTCTCCCCCCGACTCTGCCCAGGCGCTCCGCCTCACCCCGCATGTACCTTCCGGCTGGCGCTGTTCTGTCCACCTCCCTTGTTAAACACCCTCTGCCCTCAAACGCCTCTTAATGTCTCAATTATGGAAAATATTCACCCTATAAAAGGAAAGGTGTGATGTCGTGGACCCCATGCACTCACACCAGCTGCAGAAGCGGTCGGTGTGTGGCCAGCCCGTCCCTCAGCGCTGTACCCACCGTCCGGATCGGATGCACTGAAACACATCCCTCCGGCAGCACCCGTGTCCGGGCTTGCCGCTAAAGGACCAGCTGGGCGAGCAGGGCGCTGCCTCTCGGCACGTGGCTGTGCTCCATCACCAGACGCTGACGGGTGACAGCAACCCTAACGCGCCCCAGTCAGCGGCCGGCCTGCCTGCCCACACCTGTTTCTAACACTTGGTTAGAATCCATACCCAGGTGCGGAGCCGACCTGGCCCCGGGCTCGTCCACTCTTTTCTCTCTTCCCCCTGCCACCCTCCTCTTGAATTCAGGGCACCCAGGAACCAGCTTGTTTGTGTGACAGGTTCTCGCGGCCTGATCCTGTCTGTGTTGGCACCGCCCTGGTGTCACCGCGGGGGCTTCTCTGGGGCTGTGTTTCCATCCGCTGGTTGTGGGGCCGGCAGCCCTCCGGCCTCGCTGCCCCGTGGTTTCTCGCTGAGCGGGTCACTAAATATTTCACGTTCACAAGTGTACTTCTCAGCTAGCCTGTAAGACCGCACCACACCTTCCCCTCTTCTCCTGGACAGTCCGCCGCTCAGCGTGCGGCCGGGAGGTGCCAGGAGCAGCGCGTCAGTGGTGTGGGTGACAGGGCTCAGCTGAGCTGTTGCCCCCGCAAAGTACACTCAGAACATTCAGTCTGTGCAGTAACATGCAGGAAGTGACAGGTTGTGA